CCGTCCGGGCAGGGTCCCACGGGAGAGGTGCTGGGTTTGAGAGGTGAAAGAGGCTTCCCGGAGTTTGCCGGTAATTGGCGTTAGCGGTGATACCTCGGGGTGACGGGTAATAGGGAAAAAAGAAAGTCTTGACAGTAAAAGGTGGCATCCCTGAGTCCTTCCAAAAATGTGTGGAGTTAGCACGGTGTTGAAGTGACGTGGCTGTATCCAGGGAAATGAATGTCTACGCGTTCCAGTGAACGCAGTCTGCTCCATTCATTGCGAGCGCACACACATATGGAGATGCAATTACGTGGCTTATAACTGCATCGTGCTGCAGGGCAAAAATAGCATCACGTTGAAAGTCACTTCATCCAGCTATGGGGTTAGCTCTTGGGTACAGAGGAGTGTAAGAACGGGTAAATGATATATATATGCATACAAGAAAGAGAGAGGACTTTGTATGGTGACACTGAAAAAGGTACTGAGAAGTACCCTTAGTACTCGGAACCAGCATCTACTGAGATCCCATTATCCTACAAGGAATTTCAGCTGAACGTTGTGCTCCAAAGTAAAGATGCAGCTACTAATATGCTGTATCTCGTGTAGTGTCATGTGGTCCCTGTGCCAGCTGCTGAAAAATCGTGGAGACAATAATAGCATGTATTTTCTGTATGTCTTTCCTTTTTATTATTAGGGACATTTGCATAAAAAGGAGCTTTATTGTCAAGAATTCCTATTCCCTTCACTTGATGTCATGTTTTACTTCTGGCATCAAGAATAACCCCAGAATAGGTGTTACAAGAATCAGACAAGATAGAAAATCTGATTTTATATGTATAGTGAGAGTTCTCTTTATAGCATTTCATGAGGTAAAGTAAAATATTTGTAGTTGATAAATATTATTTCCCTAGTACTTACTACTTTTCAATTTATTCATAGGAGTTATGCTGCAGAGGAGTGGGCTGTTGTGGCTTGCTGTGTTGATAACCCTGTGGGTTTCCTCAAATGCTCAGGGTAAGTTCTGACGCTTCTTAAGTAGGTATAGAGTAACTCCCAAAGCTAAAAGTTGGTATAAAACATTGGCTTACCTGAGCTACAGCGGGCAAAGTAATCATATACGATTTTTTTAGAAGTGCCTGGAATAGTAGTTGCTGGGGGGTTTTTTTTTTTGGTAGATACATCTTACTACTGTTAAATGAAGATTCCCCAACAAATATCGAAAAATTGTTTTCTTTAGAAATTGTTGATCAAAATGTATATAATCTCAGAAATAATTGCTATTATACTTTCCTCTGCAGTGGAAATGTATGGTGAAAGTAACATAAACAGAATCATTGAGTGGGGTGAACATTTTAAAAAGATAGAGGAAGAGAAGTAGACCTCTACAGACCAAATATAAGTAGGATGTAAACTGGCAGAATGCCAGGCCCTCATTTACATCTGTCTTCTTGGCCTGAATCTTGAAAAAGCAAATCTCTTGCTTCCTGTTGTCATGTGGCCACATGGCTTCTCATAATTTGATTTTTATTAGCTGACAGTCAAAATATAGAAATTGGCTCAACTTCCTTATCCATTCATATGTATAAAAAATATTTAATGATTACATTGTTACATGCATCCATGCGTAGGCATATACATGAACATACAGCATGTATATATATACAAGTGTGTATTATATAGTGCTATAAATATATAGCCATATGTTTAGTTATATAATCAAACTTATTTATACCTACACACAGAGAAAGCGAGAGTTGTCATGTAAATGAAAATGACAGGTGGAAAATACGATTCACTTGCGGGCTAGTAGGAACAGTTCTGTTTGCGGAGGTAGGAAAGTACTGGGTTTACTCTGCTGATCTTCACGTCTGCCATATAATTGCAGTTACTAAGTATAGTGTGCAGAGCTGTGTTTCTTATAATACTTTTTGTAGACATATTGTCACACACTGTTAACTTTTTCAGATGGTGACAAGGAAGAGGAGACTGCCTTTGATTTACTTCAAATCAGTAACATAAACCGAAAGACAGTTGGAGCAAAATTGTTTCGGGGTCCAGACCCCGCTATCCCAGCATATCGTTTCATTCGGTTTGACCATATACCTCCATGTAAACCAGAGAAATTAAAAAAGATTGTCAAACTCATACGGCAAAATGAGGGCTTTATCCTTTCAGCCACCCTGAGACAGGACAGGCAATCTAGAGGCACTATCCTTGCTTTAGAGGGTCCTGGCATCAGTGAGAGGCAGTTTGAGATCATTTCCAATGGCCGGGCCAACACCCTGGACCTTATCTATTGGGTGGATGGCTTCCAGAATGTGATTTCCCTGGAGGACGTGGACCTTGCCGACTCGCAGTGGAAGAACCTCACCGTGCAAATAACAGGGGAGAACTACAACCTCTATGTTGGCTGTGACCTTATTGACAGCTTCATCCTGGAGGAGCCTTTCTATGAGCAGCTGAAAGCAGAGAACAGCAGAATGTATGTGGCAAAAGGGTCCATTCGGGAGAATCATTTCAGGGTAGGTAACCTGGAGGAGCTCAGGTCACTGGTAAGGTAAGGACATGGCTGCAACTGGTTTGAGAAGATGCAATAGGTGTAGCTTTGTTCTCCCAACACCTCTTGGATTTGGTGGGGTCATAGGTGTTCCCAAGCAGAATTTCTCCAGAGTGTGTTTTTATTCATTGCTGGATCCGTGTTGTGTGAATTTGGGGGTTCCTGAAAACAAAGGACTGGTAAAGCAAAGTCTAAGGCCAGGAAAAGTGCACAAAACCAGTTTACGGTGGATGGTTAAGCAATCATCCACTTTCTTTTCCAGATTTAAGACTTCTGAACATGTTGCGTTTTTGTAGTGATTTGTAGAATTCTTTGGAAATTTCTTGAGACCTATTTTTCTGTTGAAATATATCTGTTCAAGTCATAGGAACCTGTCGATATTTGTTAAATTTTATTTGAAAAAGAAACATGGAGGAAAGAAAGAATTTTTAATGGAGCTGAAGCATGTGATGTTGGCCCATCCCCTAACAGAGTATCTTGGTTTGCCATTCTGAATAAACTTTCGTTTCAATTTAAAAAACAAAACAAAAAAAAATTTGGAAAAAAAAAATAGAACAAAATGTTTTGATCAGTCCTGTAAATGAGATTTTTTTTTTTTCATTTTGTGGAAAACATTTATTGTTTCTCTTTTGTTTTAGAATGAAGCAATTAGAAACTTTCTGGTTTTCCTAGAAAATGAAAATTTCTTCCTGTCTCATACAGTGATGTGATCTGGCCCAAGTGCATTGAGGGTGGCTTCTTTTCACTCACAGCTGAAATCAAACTTGAACTCAAGGCTTCAAAAATTTGAAAAGCCCTTTCTTTCTCATTCTGTTGTGCCATCTAGTTGTCAGCCAGAGCGTGACATGCTGGTGTGGTTCCATAGGGTGACCAGTTTTGGCAGGAAAGCCAGAAGCTCTTGCCCACAGCCTCTCCATTCCTGCCTCCCTTCCTAGCCCATCAGTTGTGCTCATAGAACTGGTTTTGGAGCTGTACTGTTAAGTGGGTCACTGAAGTAATCTGTTTTTAAAGTAATTTTTTACTTTTTTGAGATTTTTTTTTAAAGTGAAAAAGATACTGGTCTGGTTTTATAGTGTTGTCTCAGGGTAGTGCCAGCACAAGTGAAGAGACAGTGAAGTGCATGGGAATGATTGGCTAAGGATGGAAGTGTGATGGGGCAGGAACTTCAAAAGTTGGCTTTGACCTCGTGATGAATGTCTCATAGAGCTACAATCTAAAACACGCTACATGGAAATGGAGATTTGAACCCATTGCTGATTAATAACTGTTGTATTATGACCTATTTGAGAACATACCTGATTTTATTGGTTATAGTATTGAAATTGTATTTAACAAAACTATCAACAGAATTTTTTTTCAGTGTGTGTCAGGTTGAATGCCTTGTAGATTGTTTTTTACGTATTTACTTATGGCTAAATCCAGTCAGTAGCTTGGGTTTGAGACAGACCAGTTATTGGTTAATCCTAAATTGATCTAACTTTTTTAATTTTTGTTTTATTATTATTACAGGGTCTTTTGCAAAATATTCAGTTAATCTTTGATACCTCAATAGAGGATGTTCTGCGTAAAAAAGGATGCCAGAGAAGCCAGTCAAGTAAGGCTTTTTTACCTCATTAATACTGTTCAGTTGACTCTGAAAATGAGAAACGTCAATGGTGACCTATTATCCTAAACCCATGCAACAGATCCCTCTGAAATGGTAGAGGAATCTTATTTGAAAAAGAAAATTCAGTTGCTTTTTGGTGGTAATAAGAATATATTTGTTAGCTATATTGAGAGACTATTTCTACTCTCTAGGCTACTATGTTAGTTCTTATTGCTTAGGTTTATAACTCTGAGCCTCTGTTTTTAAGTTGGGAGAAAAGCTGTCAAGCAAGAAATTATTAGAAACAGAAGGAAAAATGTTTATGTGTGAAAATACCTACATTATTCCATGAGATGTCCATGATTCTTTGAGCACAAGACTGGGAACGTTGCTTCTGAATTCTGCTCCTGACTCTCAATGAGCAAGTCTGCAACTCTTAAAGACACTGAATTCCTTGGCAATAAGTTTGTTGACTGAAAGAGGCTTTGAGTTTGAATCCCAAAGTGTTGTTAATCAAAACAACCTAAGGAAAATAAGAAAAAAACAAGAGGTATGGAAGGCATGTATGTGACAAGCTGCCATGTGTTCTTGTTAGTCCAGTTCATGCTGACCTCACCAGGAGGGGAGCCCTCTGTGTGTGGGAGTATATTGGATTCATCATGAAAGAGTTATGAAAATTTGTCAAGTATGCACTAAGGTTTTGTACTTCAGCTCATGGGAGGTGCTGGCTATTTTACTTTCCAGTGTTTGTAACCGTCAGGAGCTCAGTCAAGAATCAGAGACAGCTGATTCCATGTGGTAGGTACACAAGGCAGGCAGGACTTTGGGGTTTTATTTGAAACTCCTACCATCTGAAATGGAAAACTTTTTTCCTTGTTTATGCAAAAACCTATAAATTAAGCAGTAGCAGGTCTTAACTTCTTCAAAGGGGGCCAGAGTACTGAGATTTTGTAACGAAAACTTTCTATAAGCTATATAAATGTGTGTCTATATATGTATGTATATATCTGTATAGGACTGTGTATGTATGTAAATGCACAAAAAATTTAACTGAGCTTGCTAGCCTGTTTTTAAATCTTGATAAAAGATATTGGTTGGTTATTTCGTACGTTCCACAGGTGTGCCCTGCTGCAGGACCTCAGACACAAGTGTGATGATGTGTTAGAAATGAGTCACGTGGGCTAGAATGGAAGTGGCCTTAGATGACACAGGCAAGAAGATATGCCCTCATTTGTTGGTTGTCATCTACCCCAGCCAAGCTGTTTTCTGTACCCAGAAACTACTCAGAACTACTTATTACTGGTTTTCAGCTTTGTTAGTGGAAGGAAATGCTTGAGGAGCAGAACTGCTGTGGGAAAATAGAATGTGTATTTAGGTCTAATTGTAATCTGAATAAAAGAGAAGGATGGTTTCAGGAAGGATGCAGTTCAGCTATCCTACTTCATTTACCAGTGGAAACAAAATTCCCAGAAGATGAAGTAGAACTTTGAGGGCACATTCAACCATCAGAGGCGGAACAGTCTCCTTCAAGAGGATGAGGTCCCTAGATGTAGATAGATTGAACCAGCAAAACCAACGAAAGAGGGTGTCTTCAAATGTTTTACATTATTACTGGTTGATCACTGCAAAGGGAAATAGGTTGGCCAAATGTTTAGAAATATCGTCAAGTAAAAATGGGAGGTTACTGACTTCTGCTCTGAAAAGGAAGCCAATGGGAGCCTAAAGGGATAATTGAGTTCTGCATGCTGATACATACCTTAGGAGGAATTCTTATACCCTTCAGCTGTTGCAGCTAATAACCAACAGATAATATTTTTTTAATGTATTTGTTATCACACCTATCAACTACCACATGTTCAGGTCCGATAAATTGTACAGATTTGTTTTTTTTTGTTTTATCCTTCTTGGGATGTATTAGCAAATAGTTCAATTCACAGTATTTTTACTTTTACTTTGCAACACCAATAGAACACTGCAAGATGGAAATTACCTGTGCAACAACAGAAGAGGGCTAATGGCAGACTGTGGCTTGAGGCCATCAAAATGACTTGAGAGGCTTGTTAATGCGTGGCTGATTTTCTGGCATTGCCTATCCAGCTTAATTACTACAGTTGAAAAGCCATGTGCGATATGTTACTGACCACAAGGTACATAAGTATTTTCTCATTTTGATGGCCCACCCATTAAGCTGTGGTACAGACACTAAGATGCCAAATTTACGTGTGAGTGTCCCACATGGCAGATGTTACCAGTGAAGTGCCCTCAGCTCTGAGGACATAAAAAGCCTGCTGCTTTTTCAGAGGCAGGACCGTGTTTTCCTACTGTATCTTTAATCCTAGTATGAGAACGTGAGGTATGGTGAAATGGTAGCTTGGGATTGCTGTTGGGTTGAGGATAGGAAAGTATCTGTAGTGTGGTGGTTGCAAATACTTTAGGCAGAACTTACACACAGCGCTGGGTAGGAGATGACAAAAACATGCCTAAACAGGCACATCAAGAAAATCCCTTCTTCAGCTAGATCAACAGAATGACATTTGCATATGTGAAAGGATGCACATTCTGCTCTTCTGGTTTCTCGTTTTAAAGATAATCATGTGGTCCTTAGGAAATTAGCAGGAAGCCAGCAGCGTAGAACTGATTTCCCAGTGATCCCCAGGCATCTTCTTTCAGTCGCTGCCAAGTATCAGTAGGAAGTGTGGATTTATTTCTTCTAACATAGTTTTGGTTTATGTTTCCTGCTGAGATTGCAGCTTTATTAATGTCCTCAGAATGTTCCGGTCAAGGCACACTCCATGTTGGCTTGAAAAATATGAAATTAATGACCTGAGAAGTGCTACGGGAGAATCTGAGAAACCTAGTCTTTCAATGCGGTAGGAAAATTGCATTCTTTCCAGGGAATCAAAAAGCAGCTGAAGTAAACAGTTATGACACAGAATTCTGACCTGCTATGTGGTATATCGGTTTTCTCCCATCCTGTAGGTGAAGCTGGACAATTACTTCAACTCTGGAATACTGTGAAGAATTTATTGTAGTCCTTGGCTAGCGGCAAATACTTCATAGCTAATTGAAAAGCACATCAAGCCAATCATTTTAAGTATGGTTGAGAAGTAATTATTTAATGTCATCTTATGGGTTGGTTCTTTGTTCTTTTATTTTTAGCCTTCTAAATTAATGAAGAATATTCCTGCTCCCATTTTCATTGCTTGTACATTCAAATATAACACTTTACATTGGATAATCAAGCATCAGATCAAGCCCTCAAAATTTTTAAAGCGTTTCCACCTTCTGTGACTTGTCAACACTGAATGGTATTGGGCTGTTTTGAAGCATATGTCTTATGGCTCACATTCCTGTGCTGATTTCTTCTTTTTAAATTGCTATATCCTTTGCTTCTCCTTTCTGTTTGGTAACCTTGAGTTATTACAACATTACTAAGCCTGGTAAGCAAGTCTTTATTGAGAGACAGGGTAGCATGGATTTCTGTATAGCTGATACCAAAGTTGAGTGTACCATAGAGTCCTTAGAGAAAGCTTCCATGGAATCCGTAAGATACTTACCTGGTGGAGATTTAAAAGATTAACAGAACACAGACTGTTTTATTTAATTATCTGTGTTCTTTTTTTATTAATTACTGCTGATGCTTTCTGTTATATTCCTTTTCAGGAATTTGCTATAGACAGGGAGGTCTTTTAAACTGATATTAGAACATGTCCAATTCTCCCTGTATAATGCACGCAAAGTTCTGTTTTAATTACGATCTGCCTGATGGAGGAGTGTTTGGAGTGACAAATCAAATATTCAGCCTGATCTTAGCTCGACCTCCATTTCACTTCAGAATTAAACTATCATTATAACAGCTCCTCTGAGTTTAACACCAGGCAGTGTAACACCGAGCAGCCCAGAGTATGGTGTAAATTGCATAACAGTCCAAATTTGAGCCAAGTAACCATGGAATTTATGGGCAGAACAAGGACAATGACTTTCTGCAAGGAAACTTTCTCCTACCTTTTTTTCTGCATTGAGAAAATGTGATAGGTCATGAAAAAATCTGAAACCTTTCATGACTGAGTGGATAAAATGGGCTTGCTTTTTTGATAGTGTCCTTTTGTTATGCCTTCTTCATAAATTAATGTGTTGCAGTGCCAACAGCGTTTTAAAGTGAGGGCCGAGTGAGACACAGCTTGGCTCTTAATTTTGAAAAGGGAAAGCCTATAATTGGAACCGGCTGACATTTAACCCCTCTCTTTTATTCATGGGTATAATCTAGCATGAAGCTGTGCCAAAATGGATGTGTTTAAACCCTACACATGGGTGCCAATCTGTGATTTCAGCAGGAATCTGTAATCTGTGGAAGAACTTTGTATATGCAGCTCTTCTTTTTTCCTCTCTTGCTACCAGCTGAAGTGAACACCATCAACGAGAGCACTGAAATCCTTCACTTGAGCCCTGCTGTCACCACCGAGTACGTGGGGGAGAAGCCAGAGAAGAAGGCTGAGTTCTGTGACCGCTCCTGTGAAGAGCTGGGAACGATGTTCACAGAGCTCACTGGCCTGCGCATCGTGGTGAACAACTTAGCTGATAACCTCCAAAAAGTGGTAGGTACCTGTAAGGCTGAAGAACCAAAAGAGGTCTGTTGGGCAGTACTCTTTCCTTCTTTGTTTTATACCACAGGCAGTTAATAGAGGTTTCTGTATGTACATGTGCATACCTGTTGGTATATCTACATAATGTAGAGATGACCTACATTTTTCAGAGTGTCTAGTTAGGTAATTCTTGAGTATAACACTTTAATGAAGGCTTGGTTTTCACAGACTGGGATTAAAAAAACACACACACGCACTCATACACAGAGGAAATCAATCCTCTTAAAGGTACAGCAGGTTTGGAAATTGAAAGCTAACGAACCCAACCTTGCCAGTATACTGTTGAAGTGTTGTTACCATGCTTATACCATTTATGAATACATCAGCAAGCGGCTGATGTACACAGGGTACCTAAACGGTAAGTAAATGTATGGGATTTTTGTAGTTGAAGTAAGACGGTGACATGTTACTGAAGTCTGCCTCTCTTCTTGTTCTGAATAAGTTAATCCTTTCCGAAGGAAGTTTATTACTATGCCACATGTCTCAGGACTAAAATTTTCCCATCTGAAGATGAGTTGTATTGGAGGAAAGCAAAACTGCTAAGAACAGATTTCCCTTAGTATTGTGTGACTGTGTTTGTACTATTAACTGGAGAATTGCTATGCAGTATTGAAGTACCTGAGATCTTCTGCTTTATGTACATAAATGTATAAAAAATACATGGAAGAATGAAATCTAGTAGTGTCTCAGTTTTGTCTTATTTAAAATGGTTTGCTTACAAAGTACACAATTTTTTTCATTTGCTTCATCTTCAAGTCTGAAGAGAACCAAATTATGTGGGAATTGATTGGGCCTAACAAAACACTGAAGAACCAGTCGGTTTGCTGGCAGGATGGCCGTGTCTTTGCAGATAATGAAAGCTGGATTGTAGATAGCTGCACCAAATGCACCTGCCAGGTAAAGTTTTGGAAACATTCTTCTCTGCAAAAATGGATAGTGGGTTTGCTCCAGGTCAGGTCACACTGACTCAGAGCTTGGCCTAGACTTACTGATATTTATAAAAAGTAGTGCCCATGTCCATGACATTTAGAACAAATCAAAGAATTTCCACATATGAAACTTTCCCCAGATGCCTGCCTTTATTTGCCTCTGTATGTGAGCATAAGTCAGTAAGCTGATTTCTTTGCCTGTAGGATTCAAAAATTGTGTGCCATCAAATCACCTGCCCAGCAGTCTCCTGTGCCGATCCATCTTTTATTGAAGGCGAATGTTGTCCAGTCTGCTCTCACTGTGAGTATTTAGCCAAAGGAAGAGGTACTCTTTGGCAATATTTAAAGTCACTTCTGCTGTGCTGGAGAGGTCAAAACAAGTAAGAGGTTGAGGCAGGTAAGATCAAATAAGAAACTTATATGTATACAAGGATCATACGAAGTAACTTGGCTGCTTGAAGTTACTTTCTGGAGGAGTTGGTCTCTCTTCAGTTGCTTAGAAGTAAGCTGATAACTTGCCTAGCGAAGTTGGACACTAAAGGGTAGATGCATACTCCTCCCTAGTTGTGTTTTCCAAGGCTGGACATTCTGGTTTTTTTTGGTTTGCAATAGCGCTGTGCACTATTATTTCTTTTCCATACTGCCCAGTTAAAACAGACTAACATAGGTTAGGATGTCTTCTTGTCTCCTTGTGGAGGACGTTGAAGTTCCGGATCAAAAATTTCATGTGGTTTGATGCAATATTTATTAAGAGTGCAAGTTATTTTTCCTCTCTGTTCTTGTCATTCTGTTACTCTGTTTGATTTCTTCTCTGTCGTATATCCTCTTCTGGTATAATGCTTTACTTAACGTGGAACAGATTGTCAAGGTTCATTTAAGACAGCATTGCAGGCTGTGAACTAGACTTTGGAGTGACAATAGCTTTAGTAATTTCACTTATTAAGTGACTTCAGTGTGGGTTCAGTACATTTCACTCTGTACTAGACAGGTCTATTGCAGAAGAAAACAGTTACTTAGATGTTCTAAATAAAAATGCATTGGAATATACTCAAGAGTTTTTTGCCTATTCAAGCATAGGGCATATTCTTAAAATGTGCTCTTGATCACGTTCACCATTATGTTGTGTTCAGAGGTGGGGCCACATCTCATCATACTGACCTATGTTCTGAACTCAAAGGCAGTTGGAACTCGAGTTTTTGGCTCAGTCCATTCTAGAGATAAGATGTTCTTCTTCCTCCAACAGTCAGTGCCTCGTGCAAACACGCTGCATGCAAGTTCATGAAGATCCAGGATTCTTATCTGTGCTAACCTCTCATTACATTAAACCATAAGTCCATAACTTGCAGTGGCAGCTTGGGAAAGCAAAATTAGAAAAAGAAAGGACGAAGCGTATGTTCTACAGACAAAGAGAAGTGAAAATCTTCTGAGTAGGATAATAGAGCAACTTTCAGTGTTAAGTACTTTTTTGTACCTTTTGCTCTGCAGCTGATGACAGTGAGGAAGGCTGGTCACCGTGGTCAGACTGGACAAAGTGCTCAGTTACCTGTGGCTCTGGGACTCAGATGCGAGGAAGGTCGTGTGATGTCACCAGGAGTGCTTGTACAGGCCCGCACATCCAGACAAGGATGTGCAGCTTTAAGAAGTGTGACCATCGCAGTAAGTAATAAAATTTCTTCCTTTTTTTAAAGCTGCTTTGGACTTCTCTAAGCAAAAACAAGCTTAGCCTGAATTTGCTATGAACGCTCACTAGTCAGAACAGTATGTATTTGAACACTGATATATGCATAATTAAAGTAGCTATCATTAGATTCTTTGTCATCTCCCCCCTTTCAAATATTTCTCCTTTTTCTGACAATTTAATAGGTATGTGCATTCTGGGCTCAGCTCTGTTAAACAAAAAGATAGTGGGTGATCTTTTCTTTAACATTATCAACTGGAGTCTCTTGTTTGAAGTCAGTTTGGAGACAACACTCAGTTGATAATCATGATACATGGGGCCACGTTTTGATCTGCAATTCATTTGTGATTATTGGCCCATTCCATTAGCTTAGTAGTTTTTAGGAATACAGTAATCATGGAAGACTTTTGTAAAATATCAAACTGCTTTTATATTTAAGGCACTTAAAAGGATCATACTGTGTCTCCAGAACTGTAGTTAACACTATTGCAGGTAGCTGCTATATCCAGGCTGCTATAGTACCTAAGGCTATTGCTGAAGCTGCTAGATGTCCAAATATGCATTTTAAACAAGTATTTGTTTCATTGGAACAAGTTTATTTTTAAATAAAATATCTAACGTGCATGTTAGTCATATGTTGGTCACCGAGATTCTTAAGAAATCTGTACTTGAATGTCTGAGCTGACATGCTGGGCTTTGTAAGTGACAGCGGTAGGAAAGAAATGGGACATTCATCAGATGCGGTGAGAGGCTTATTAGAAGGTCAACTTCACAAGTGAGTTTGTATTACTGCTGCAGGTGGGCTATTTCCTTGAGTTTTGCTCTTTTCTCTGGCAGTACGTCAAGATGGTGGCTGGAGTCACTGGTCTCCCTGGTCTTCCTGTTCAGTTACCTGCGGAACAGGAAATATCACCCGCATCCGCCTCTGCAATTCCCCTATCCCCCAGATGGGTGGGAAAAACTGTGTGGGAAACGGGCGTGAAACAGAGAAGTGTGAGAAGGTTCCATGTCCAGGTACGTCTGTGGTCTTGAATCCCAGGTGACGCAATAATATTCCAGCTGAATTTCTTCTCTTTATTCAGATCTAAATTATAGTGAATTTCTGTGCCGGAAAATATAATTTGTAGCTCTGGGGTGAAATAGCACACAAGGGTGCTTTTAAAATGAAGACAACAATACAGTTGGCAGTTTTGTAAACCTCCCAAGTTATGATTTGGCTTTAAACATTAAGAGTTTGAGAAATTTTCATTTTATAACTTAGTGATTTATCTCTGCATATCAAAAATATAAACACTTTCTATCTAAAAGGAGGCTGATACTGTACATGTTAGGAATAGACATACAGTTCCCCACTAGTCAGTAATAATAATTTATTTTTATTATATTTTTATTAGAATAATATTTTTATATAATTATAATAATTGTAATTGTTATTATAATTCTTTTTTCCTCATCTACACTTTTTAACTTTTTTAGAGACCATTCATTCCACTCACTTTCGCTTTCCTTTCATATAATTTTTCCTCACTTTTTTCCCTTTGTATATCTTTCTTCATTCCCTCCTCAGTTTGCTTTCTACTTATGGGATGAGCTTGAAACTGATGTCAAGCTTGTAAACCAACAGTACTTAAATAGGTATACACACTTCATCTATTTTTTGATCTACCTGTGCGTGTGAAATTAGTGAAAAGGTTATTTATTTAAGGACACACACCATTGCCCTTATGTTTTTGTGCAGTACTAAGAACAAATACAGTTTGGTTCAAAGATGTTTGTATTTCAAGAAAAGTCAGGATTGATGACGACAGGATCAGTAGAGTTGTACCAGTATAAAATGTGCAGAAGAATCATTGAAATAAGTTATTTATACTGAGTCAAGCAATACTATTGAAGATACACTGATGAATGGATTACAAAACAAGAATAATAGCTGCAACCTTACTGAGCAAACTGCTGCCATAAAAAAAGCCATATTGCTCAGGTTTGGCTCAGCAGAAGTTTGTGTCCTGTGGTCACACCCTGCTTTCTGTACAAAATGAAAGCTTAGTGGGAGCTTTGAAGGCACTGTACTTGTTCTGATCAACTTAAATTGATTTATTTCCATACACCATGCCAGTGGGCGCGGCATGTTGTTTTAATTATTGGCCAAAAAATGCCTGTAAAGCAGTTGGGTATTTTTTGTTTGTTTGTTTCTGAAATATTGCTATCTCAGTGCAAGGCTTTGCCAGCATCTTTCTTCCTACGGACGTAGTGAGAAATTGTCTCCAGTCAGGGATCGGAAGAAGGGGTTGCTGTAATTGGCACCAGCTGTTGTCCTCAGTATATTGCCTGTGATGCGCTTCTCCTCTCTTCTGCACATCCTAGTGAACGGTCAGTGGGGTCCTTGGTCTCCATGGTCTGCCTGCACTGTTACCTGTGGAGGAGGAATTCGTGAGAGGTCTCGCCTCTGTAACAGTCCAGAGCCACAATATGGAGGAAAGCCATGTGTGGGAGATACCAAGCAACATGATATGTGCAATAAGAAGGATTGCCCAATTGGTTGGTATTTAGTCATTCTTTATTCAGTCTGAATAATTATTATTGCTGTTATTTCTTTAATGGATAATTAAGAACTGATACTACAGAAATCTACTAGTTATACCTTTGTTTCAGGAAAGCACGTTTAACTATTTTGGGTGCTGTTTAGATCAGTGGGATTTTATATATGTTCTTAATACTGACTTCTCCTGAACAAGGATGCATTTCTTAAACATGTCTTCAGTGTGCTGTAATGTATTCAACTGAATGTAGCAATCTGTAATATTTTCATATTAAATTAACAGTATATTAAATGCATTTAGTAACCCTAATTCTAAGGGGTTTTATAAGAGTCTGTTGCATCAGATGTGATTTAAGCTAATACCCATTTCTTAAATGAAGTGTTACATGCCTTTTATATTCCTAGCTTAATTTACGCTTTTATGTGTCTTTGCCAGATGGGTGTTTGTCAAATCCTTGCTTTCCTGGAGCAGAATGCAACAGTTACCCAGATGGGTCTTGGTCATGTGGGCCGTGCCCAGCAGGTTACCTTGGCAATGGTACCGTCTGTGAGGATCTTGATGAGGTATTGACTTTGTTTCCATTAACATCAGGAAATCACTGTGAAATTTTCATTATTTGGGCATTACACAGCCATCTAATTGGTTTCTTCTTTCTTTCTTTTCCTGCAGTGTATAGCTGTGTCAGATGTTTGCTTTAAGGTGAATCAGGTCCATCGCTGTGTGAACACAAATCCGGGTTTCCACTGCTTGCCATGTCCTCCACGCTACAAAGGAAGTCAGCCCTATGGGGTAGGGCTGGAAGTTGCCAAGATGGAGAAGCAAGTAAGTTATGTTGAAGAGAATTTGATGGCTTTGAAACTGAGTAATTCTCACCTGAAAATATCTGTAATGAAAGCATGTGATAAACTTGGGTACCAAACTAAGATAACCTGAAATAGATAACTGCTGTTCCTGGGTATTTTTGGTTCGAGTAACAAAACACTGAATTTTGCGGTTGTTTTTTTTAAGGGTTTTATTTTCTCTAGGCATCTGCACAGTTGCACCAAATGAGTGTAAAATGCCAGGAGCAAGTATTCCCCTGCTTTGCACTCCTTTCTCTCAGGTGTATATACCTACTCTGGGGATTGGAAACTGAAGAATCAGGATCATTCTCTCCATAAATATAATGCTATTAATGTGAGTGTCATCAGACATATGTCTGAAGTTCTCACTCCCTAAATTCCATTGGGCCAACACCTATCAGTGGTGAAGGACAGAAGGATGTGGAAGTGATATTGAAGACTACGGTTTGATAGACAAGACAAAAACGTTAAAACGGATGTGATGGGATGCCTTCTCTTTGTTGCTGTTGAATCAATCTGTGCTTAGTTCAACATGTGAAGTCTAAATGTAAAACGTCTGTGCAAGATTCTCAGATACTGTCAATGAAAATAAGCAAAGTGATAAGAAAGAGGTAACAAAAACTTACTTGAGGGGAACATGAGAATTCATTAGGGTCTCTTTGATTTAAGAAAATAAGATAGTCCTTGCATACTGACAGGCAGAATGCTAAAGGAAAGAGGTGAGTACAGTCTACTTTTTGTTGCAGTTAATTTCTGGGGATTAACGACATCTGGAAGAAAGCAGATAGAGTTCTGAAAATGTTAATCACTTTAATTGCTTTTTGAATAATGTCCAATTTTTCCTGTGGTTTGTCTTAATTATTTTCATTGTACACAATGTCTGGAGTTGTGAACTGGCAGAGCAGTATGACTTACTGACCACAATTAAAACAAAATTCCTGTCTTTAGGCATCTAAATAACTGGCCTGATTTTGACAAAGTTGAGGCACACACAGCTGGCTGCAAATATCATCAGGTTTCAGTGAGTACGCTCTATCTGTTACAGGTCTGTGAACCTGAGAATCCATGCAAGGACAAGACACACAGCTGCCATAAGTCTGCAGAGTGCATCTATCTGGGCCATTTCAGTGATCCTATGTACAAATGTGAATGTAGGACAGGTTATGCTGGCGATGGACGCATCTGTGGTGAGGATTCAGATTTGGATGGCTGGCCTAATAATAACTTGGTCTGTGCTGCTAATGCAACGTACCATTGTGTGAAGGTAAGTAAAAAAGGTTGATAAAAATGCCACTCCATAACCAAATTTTCTCTCTTTTTTCCTAAATAGTTGTGAATAACACTTTTCAGCATCAAGCTGGTGGTTGCTTTCATTAAGCTTTGACTGTTACAGCATGCTCATTTTCTAGATGCTGTGAAATGTGTATTCACTTTACACTAGATCCAGTAAGGGATTCTCAGAATGAAATCCAGAGTCCTCTGCTTTGGATTTCTTCCTGCTCAGTGTACACGGAAGGTTGGGATGCTTGTGAGTAGAGTTAGCACACCAAGCAGGAGCTGCCCAGAGCACGGGTGTGGAGCACACAGCTAGTGAGAACTAAACAAGAATCTCTGGGTGCAGGTGAGTATGAAATCCTACCTGAAAGGCTTGTAACAAGACACCGACAGCCACGTAAGGTCTACAGTTCTAAATCCTTTCTTGAACTACCCCTTCCTTTTAAAGTGTTAAGCAGGTCACACTCCCTGTGAAAACTGGATTCAGAGCCTGACATAATTTTTGGCAATAGGAACCTAAGAGAGGAATGAATGAGTAATTAGACAGAGGAGTTCTCCTAATTGCAAAAGCTGGGACCCCCAGGGTCCCAGCTCTTACCGTCCTGAGGGGAATGCCTGCCTGCCACCATTCATTCTAGACCTGGCAGGGGAACTGTTCTCCACCCTTGCTGCTGCAGCTGTGCCATTGTAGTGAAAAATGAAATGTTACTATGCCAAGGAGAAAATAAGCATCAGGGAGCCTAAAAATGGTGGTATGTAGGTTTAACAGTGGGTGCCCACCATGGTATGTTCCCTGGGACCTGGTTCTGTGTTCGTCTGAAGCATGCTATAAGTCCTCCTTGGCTCCATGGCCTGAGGTTCTTTCCAGTGGAAGTTGCTCAAAAACGGTGAGCACGCCTGGATGTCTCATCCTGATGGAGTTACACTGCTGTGCAAAACCAGGCTGAAAGTTGTTCCATGTCCACAAGTTTAACAATGGCCCAAATAGCTGAGGGGTGAAGGCACCCCCTGACAGGTAATTCCCTGGATCCCAGTTCTGAGTGGTGGCCTCACTGATGGCTGAATGACAAGCACAATACAGAGGGGCATATGCTGTTTGCAGCAGCAAATTAAGCAACTGGGATGAAGTGAGCTTTACCTGAGCAGAAGGCATAACCAAGTGCTCAGTTTTAAACACCTACCCATGGGACCACTGACAATAGTGGATTACCTACTTGCTTTCACTAGGGCATGTGCTCAAGTATTTTGCTGAATCAGTCGTGGCTACAAGGTCAATGCTTTCTCTCCTAAGGTTTTTGGATTTTTTTCCCCCAGACATGAAACACTTTGGTTTCTCCTTCTCCATGTTAAAGTGATCTACCTCTAAACTGTCATGAAGTTCTAGCACAATAACTTCAGATTAAATAGTGAGGAGGGAAATGCAAAAATGACTAAGTTCTAAACCACTACAGTGGTTAAAAAAACAAATATGGATCAAGAGACTAGGAAAGTTTGAAATCAGGCTGTTTGAGAGAATCAGAAGTCACTCAGGTGTAATCCAGATGAAGTTGTGAATCTGGCCTTTATCAGCAGAAGAATTTCAGACATTGATGGAAATGTGAGCCTCAAAGGTTGAACTTCCTCACTGTAGCTGACGTCTGTTTATTGTGGATCCAGCCAATTCAGCAATTGCAGTTCATATATTCTTTTGCGGCTCCTGTCACCAGAACCTGCAACATGTTGACTCAAGATGTAATGCAAATAATTAATTTTCATTAAAAACCCAACATGCTGAACCCATTCAGAAAAAAACTGTTTTCAAATGTTGATTCATGGTTTCTATAATACATGTGTTGTTCTAATAGACACAAGTACTTCATTTAAGGGGAAAAACCCCCCAAACCCCCTTAAAAATACCAGGTATTTTCAGGTCTTTATATTCATTACAAAATATCCTAGTTGAGTAATTTGATTTAAAAAAAGCAAACCAAAGCTTCTTTCCTTGAGCTGATAGTGGTTGAAAATTAACTTACTGTCTAAGCAAAGCTATATAAATAAAGCAAGTAGTTGTAAATAATAATAAAAATAAAATGTTAGAAATATTTTTTAGTGTAAATTTCTTTTTCATTCACATGAAAGTAGCATTTTTTGCCATATGAATTATCATATCAATACACAATTTTGTCAATAGGTGAACCAAAGAAGCCTAGCTTCCAGTGGGCTTGTGCCTCAAGGTTGAGTTCCCAGGTGGAAGGTGTGATGTGTAATAAGGCCTCTTTCTAGTATCTAATAAGAGAATTTGAGTGCACTAATAGGATCTCTCTCCTCTACACCAATACCTCTTTTTGCGAAGTTTATAGGAACTTGCTACCCATGAGTTCTCCACCTTACTACTTGACTTGTATGAAATTGGACTCAAATCTATAGAGAAGACAGACAGACAGACAAACATATAGATACAAGCATACAAAGTGATTGAGCAAGCTTCGACTGATTTCTTCCATCGTTTCAAAAAATGTTTTGTATCACTGGTAACGAGTGACATAGTCAAGGCTGTTCACAGGTGTTTGGTAAAAAAGTGCCATAAAAAATTGGGAGTTGCATTGGGGTTTTTATATTTATCACAAATTTTCCAGTTCTCTTTTTCTTAAATTATCTATACTATTAGAACCACTAAGATTGAAAACAGGGCTAGGAATCTTGCTGTAATATTTATTTTCTTAGGGCATGTGTTACAAAAAAGATATTTCTGCACTCTATTGGCAGATTCAGTTTTGGTCTGAGGTAAATATGGAATGCCAGAAAAAGTGAGAATAACAGAATGGGTTTTTATAGATGTATTTATTCTTAGCCAGTGGTAGAATTGCAATCCATTTTTAGCTGATTTTAGTATTTTAAAAAGGAATACATGTTAAAAGTTTGGCAAACTATTTCACTTCTTATTTTTTCAGTGTAACCTAAGACTTGCTCATTTAAAATAATCATTCTTTACAAATAAAGAGATATATTTGCCTTTTATTTTCAAGGCCATGGGAGCAGGGGAGCGCAAAGGTACTGTTTTGCAGAACAGTATAAAGGCATGTTTTTCGAAACCCTTTCTTACAGTGTTCCCCTTCAGTGCTGTGTACTACTTCATTCCAGTAACTTTCCATATGAACAACTATTTCTGAAGACCATCTCCTGGCTTGTATCTTTATTTTTCTGGCAACCAAACCTGGTCATTTTATATGTAATCTTCAAACATACTTCATGAGTTGTCTATAAAAAGTTGATGTAAGAGTGCATGTGTGTGCATGTGGTGTGTTTGTTCTCTGCTAGATAGTTTCATCTAAAACTTACTGGAAACATCCCTTTAACAGAAGGAGAGCTGGGAAATAGAATGATTTGCAGATGCATTTCACTTACTTTACAATACGAAAGCAGCGAATGAACTACTATGTCTGGCAGCAAACAAACAGGCACTTTAAAAAGTATTTGTGATTGATTGTTCTTGTTTTATAGCCTCTGGTGTACCATATTTACTCTTCTGCCCAGGCAAGTCATTCTGCCATAATCTAAACATAATGTATTGATTATTTCTTTTGGCCAGGATAACTGTCCCCTTCTGCCTAACTCTGGCCAAGAAGACTTTGATAAAGATGGCAAAGGAGATGCCTGTGATGAGGATGATGACAATGATGGTGTCGAAGATGACAAAGTAAGATGCATTTCTGTGTCTTCAGTACATTTGACCTAAACATCTGGTTTTAAGGAAGACTATTAGAATGGATGGGAGCTTTATTGTTCAGAGCTTCAGCTGAGTTATTCTGCACTGCCTTCCCTGAATGATGTCTGTTGCAGAGTAAAGCTGTGTTGGGTCAAAGGAGAGTAGTACTGTGCAGAACAAAGCAGCCTGGGGAACCTGGGGCTGAATTATGTTCTCCATATCAGTTCTGGGTTCAGTTCTGTGCATGAAAACAGTTTAATGGAAGGTGGCATTGGATTTTTTATTTTGCAGTGGAAGAATGATAGGTCCATTGTATTTGAAAAGCTGGTAGATATTATATCTGAGGTATGCTGGAAACAAGTTATGATGAATAATAATAAACACAGCCAGCATCAAGGGGAAGTGACGGGAGGACAGCACCTAGCCTGGTTCATACTTTCCTCCTTTAGATCTGCCCACAAGACTGAAATTCATTTACCTGCAGAGCCGAAAAGATAGGCAGTTAGTCTAAACCTGTTCTCCCTGTACGTTCAGCAAAAGGACAGAGGCACCTCCAGAGTGGGATTCACCCTGCCTTTTCTGAACATGTTTAGGATGAGTGAATTGGTTTTAGGAATTTACTGTTCCTCTTTGTTCCCTTCAGAGGGAGCCTAGGTGCTCTAGAGCTTCAGGTGGTTAAAGTCGGGTTAGAACTGTGTTCATGGAGCCTCTACTTAGAATACTTCAAAAACCGAAGAATCATTTGATAAAATAATATGATTTAGTACATATATTTGAAAAACTGTAGCCAGAAGTTCAATTTCATGAGCAGTATAAAATTTTGACTTGCCTCCATATCTTGTCCTTGAGTATATAAAATGTATTTCTGAGGAATTTAAAATATTGGGCTAAAAAAAATTATTTCCTTGTAGGTGGTTTTTGCTTTAGCAGAGAAAAAGTAGTTTAAAGACTTTTTCCAAATGACCTTCCTTCAGATTCCATCATGCTGATGTAGCCCTCACTCCCACTGCTTTGGTTTGGTTTCATTCTTTGCTTTCCACGCTGGGGGATGTGTGAAACATAAGAATTCTTGTTCTGGCAGACTTTCAAATTAGGGACTAAACTGAAATGAAATTTTCAGAATTCCACTAAAAGGAATGGTCTCAGGGAAAAAATATTTTGGGTCAATGACAGTATTTCATTTTAACTTAGCTTTTTGAAACTTTTTACATTTTATTATCATATGCAATATAACACAACCCACAAAAAAGTCAATCCTTGTTTAAATTGAAAAATCAAAATATGTGGTTTAAAAGTGAGAATATTGATACTAGTTTGTTCCAAAAAAGTCAGAGTTACAATTCTAGTTTTTTCCAAAAAATGTAATACGCAGCTGAAGTTGGTCTGATCTTAAAACACATTCTGATTTTTTTTAAAAACAGATGTACCAGTGATACACTTCTGTTGAAATATCTGAGTACAGATCCAATTTAAAATGCCTGTTGCTCTCCTAGTGAGATATGGAACACATTTCACATGCCTTGTATAAAAACACATAAACAGACAGTGAGCCAGGCTGTGCAGATGCCATCCTGTTACCACCAAGATCTTCAGTGTAGGTACAGCTTGTCCACTGAAAAAATAATGGATTAATATTTTGATTTTTCACTTCTGTCCAAGATGAACAGGAAGAGTTACCACTTCATAGTATGCTCTCATGAGTTGTGATTTATATTCTGAAATCTTCTGTTTCTTCTTACTAGGACAATTGCCCTCTTCTGTTCAACCCTCGTCAGTTTGATTATGACAAGGATGAAGTTGGTGACCGCTGTGATAATTGCCCCTATGTGCACAATCCTGCTCAGATTGACACAGATAATAATGGGGAGGGTGACTCATGTGCTGTGGATATTGACGGAGATGGTATGCTTTCTGTTTGGAGAATTAAGTGCTGTTCCACAAGTACACTTTGCTTTATGTCCAGTAAGATGGGCTACCTGCTTTTATACATGGAATAAAATTGGGTCTAGCTGCTCAAAAATGCAGGAGAAAGAGAAGACTGAGGTTCATCTGTCCTGTGTAGTATAGTTGCCCACAAAGTCCCTAAATGACTACAATGGATATTATTGAAGAATAAATCACAGCAAGTCTTTTATCAGTGTAATCTTAAAAAAAATCATTTCCTTTGTCTGTGTTCCAAAGTAATCAGGGTCTAATATAACAGTTCTGTTGACTTTTTTTTTTCCTTTTTAGGGAGGGGAAAGAACATGAGAACATCCGTGCGGTTAAGACAATATCTGTAGGAAATTAATCTGCTTTTCTGTGAACGTAATGCAAAGCCCACAGCAATCCAAATACACATTTTTTTGTGTCTTAAAATATTATTAAAGGTGTTTATTTCATCTACCAGTACATGCCTATATGACCCAGATTTGATCAGAATTAAGGAGGGGGAAAAGCACTTGAATGTCTTTCAAAAATCATATCCCTGCAGCATTTCAAATTTATGAGAATCCAGAAGTACTAGAAATTGAAGAAATCTAGTTTTGGATTTCCTTCAGTAACGTTTTAAACTTTTGGATGCTTATCTGACTTGAACTTCTGAATATTTTGAAGTCCTCTTATCCTTCTGATCATCAGGTTCTTAGTAGTACTTGTGGGAGTTTTGCATTTGAAGAAAAATGTAATCATATGTTATTGGCTGAAAGATTATGCAAATATCCAGGGACCATATAATATAGGAGGGGGTACTTGTATCCTTTCCAGACAGCTATGCCAACATATCTTATTTTTGTTTCTTTTCAACATATTATAATTTTGAAGGAGATTGTCAGTTGTATAACAAAGTTTCCCAAGGGAGAACAGTTTCTTTTGAAAATTTGACATGCTGTTCAATAAATGATGCACATGTTCTGGTAAAATGAAATTTAGTGCTGAGGCAGCTGAACATTAATACAGTTGTTCCTATACAAAACTCTTCAGAAATTCCATTTGTTTCTTTTCAACATATTATAATTTTGAAGGAGATTGTCAGTTGTATAACAAAGTTTCCCAAGGGAGAACAGTTTCTTTTGAAAATTTGACATGCTGTTCAATAAATGATGCACATGTTCTGGTAAAATGAAATTTAGTGCTGAGGCAGCTGAACATTAATACAGTTGTTCCTATACAAAACTCTTCAGAAATTCCACCATGTTATAGCTGTGTTCTACACCATTTCTACAACATTTCTTAAAATATCTGGGAAGAAAATCCAAATCAAATTATTTAAAAAGAAAAATACCCCACCCTTTTATCTGTTATTCTATGAAAAAGGGCTAAATTCTTAAGACATAATCAGCCCTTACTCTAGCAAAATCCCTTAGTAAAATACATGTAGAAGTCTATCGTAGCAAGAAAAGTGGAATTGATACCATATTTTTTTCTAATATTAGCCTTTTCGCTATTTCATGTTGTAGCAATAATGTTGTAGGAATCAGAAAGCCTATGAGCCCCTTCAGAGCCTTGCTTCTTTACGGGTGACTCCTGCAGTCTGTGGCTGTCTGTGCTGGATGCTGAATCATTCTGATTTCTTCAATCTTTTGTTGTTTTTTTTCCTCATAGACATTTTTAATGAACGAGATAATTGTCCTTACGTCTATAACACAGACCAGAGTGATACAGATGGTGATGGAGTTGGTGATCAGTGTGATAATTGCCCATTGATGCATAATCCAGACCAGGTAAATGTTAGAGACAGTTTCCTTAATGGTAATGTCAGAACAAGGGCAGAGAAAAGAACACAGGAATTGCTATCAGTCCCTGTTCGCTGTAGAGCTGAAGAGGTGGATATGTATTGCTCATTTTCACATCTCAGGTTGTCAGATCTCTTTGTATCAGATGAAAGGAAAGTGGAGTGATGATGCCTTTAATCCATCTTCAAGGCTTTGGTGAACTGTTTTCTTCCCCTGTGGCAAGTGAGAACAGCCTCAGGGCTGCATGTGGTATGCCTGAGTTTGTTGGTCCATGCACAGATAAGTAACATCAAGCATACAGAAGCAATCAGAAAATGTGCTTCCCAGACTGCAACTCCCCTGTGATCTCTAGAATGAGAGCAATGAAGATCACGGCCAAAAACCTGCCCTGGAAATGTCTTGGCGACCAGATCTTATGCACTGATGGCAGAATAAGTAGCTATACTAGTTTGAAGTTAACGTTTCTGCTTTAAGCACGGTTGTCATCATGATATCATTTGTCTCCAGAGAAATGTTGAGAAATTAAGTACCAGGCTATCCGTACTTTTGTGTTTGGTAACAATAATAAATTTACTTCTTTTTGATTTTTTTTTTTTTTTTTTGGTAGACTGATGCGGATAATGACCTTGTTGGTGACCAGTGTGACAACAATGAGGACATAGATGAAGATGGCCACCAGAACAACCAAGATAACTGCCCTTACATCCCCAATGCTAACCAGGCTGATCATGATAAAGATGGTAAAGGAGATGCCTGTGATCCTGATGATGACAATGATGGTGTCCCAGACGACAGGGACAATTGTCGCCTCAGATACAACCCTGAGCAGGAGGACACTGATGGTAAGAACAATGTCATCTGAATTTCATTTAGTTCTTAGTATCCAGTTCTGATCTTGGAGTATCAGTATGTCGTGAAGAGAAAGACTTCAGATCAAACTGAGCTGCTTTTGACATTTGAGACACTGTGGACTTCAATGGAACTGCACTGGCCAGTTTGGTCCAGAGTTAGAGTGTTGGGAAACCCCTTTGACAGGGGCTCAAACACGCACATACTTATTTCTAGAACACCTTTAAGAAATAAATAAAAAAAAAACCACACCAGATTATTTTTTTTATATATATTTCTGATTTTCACTTTGAATTGGGAAATACAAAGTGAAAAAACTTTGGGAAAATATTTCAAATAGCTTGAATTTCAGGCGTCTTAAAAATGAAAAATGAGCTGCTTTGCTTTCAAAACAAGTTTTCTTCTGAAAATTAAAATGGAAGAAAATATGGTTTTGTTCTGTTTTATTTTTAAAACCAGACTATTTCTCCAGGTTTTTTAAGTCTAAAATTATTGTTAATTTTTAATTATTTTTGTAAAAAAAAGATTTCTGAGTAGCTTTTCTCAAATTTGCTTTATAGGTAGCTTTAAATATGTCTTGATGATGTGCATGTCACAATTTAAGAAATGGATACATAATTGTTCTTTTCTCCAACTCTGTGGTAAAATGTTGCTGATCACTCTCGAACAGTCCTTCTCTATGTTTGACAGTAGTATTTCAATAATGAAGTAGTGATAGTTTCACAATCATAAATGTAATTTAGTAAAAATATATATGATCCTTTGAAAACCACCGTAATATGTCTCTGAGTAATCGCCCTTGCAATAAATACAGGTGAGCAATTTCTGTTCTGAGTTATACAGCTTGCTGGAGTCATTCCATGGTTATGCTCGTGAAATTGAAAGCAGAATTTAGTGCCTACATAATACAGTTTTATGTACATTTAGAAAGATAAAATCCTGAGCCCTGACTGATTTCCTGGTAAGACAGCTGCTTGCGGTAGGAAGTTTCTGGTTGGTAGTCAGTAGTAGTTCTTAAATTACTTAACCCTTCAGTCCAATGATATAATGGGAATATTTCTGTACTTGCCAATCTCTGGAATAGCCCTTTAATTTCAGAAATATTCCAGAATAAAAGTGGCCCCAAATTGGGTTAGTGTGCTGTAGTCAGCTGTCACCTGGATCTTGCAAGAGAAACTACATTTGTATGTGGAGTAAGTATTCACAAAAAGAGTAAATTTAAACAGTTTAACCAGCTCATCACTGTCATTAGTGGCAGGTCCAACAGAAATCTTGGAAAAGTAATAAATAAAGCCAAAAGATGCTCCTATGCTCTTGAAGATGTGAGCTGTAGCATATAAAGATGAGGCCCTGGAGAGGGCTGTTGGATGTGGCAGGGTAAACAAACGCTTTCTAACTTTCCTTGACAGAGAATCAACGTTGACAGCAGCAGCTCAGTACCAAATGAACGTCAGCAGGACTTTCAGTGAATAATTAGACTCCCCTGTGACTCAAGAATTACCTCTTTGATATTGGCAAAGGGAATAAAATTGGAAATTCATTCTCTTTTCTCCAATAAGTACTAAGACAAACAGGTGCAGGAGCACACAGCTGGTCAGGATTTGGAGCTCTCCATGGCCAATTGCCAGGGTGGAAAATGGGACCATTTTACCACATATCTGAACTGCAGAAAGTCTTTGAGATATTAGATGCTTCAGCTGTCTCTAACTGCTTTTTTTTTGGCTGTTGCCTAAAACTCATTCTGCTTTCTCTCTGAAAGCTTCATACTTGATAATGCTGTGCTGGTTAGGCACAGTAATGCAGGTTTCCATTTGTCTGCGAAGCATCTAGTAGTAGGTCAATAACGAATGAGCTGGATCATTGCTATTTCCCAGTGTGTTAATTCCCATGTTCTCAGAGCAGTCACAAACACTTAAATTTAAAAAAAGCAGATGCTCAGCTATATGAGGATAGAAACAAATTAGCTGGCAGTTCTGGTTTTACATTAGTACCCAGTGTAATATCCAGTGGTTTCTGTTGTAAAAGTCAGAGCCATTTGCGAATTTGTTTCCATACTTGTCTAGCCAAGTTTTTCTACTTTATTTTCAAGTGTTTGTACTATTGTATGCCACTGAATAACAGTGGCATTGGCAATGAGATTATTTTTTTTTAGATGCCTCCTTTCACCACCTGCTATTCAAGGTAAGTCACATCTACTGGTTTCCACCAATATTATGGGTAAACTAAGAAAGGAAATAGTTTTGGGGTTTTTTTAAATATTGAGCATAGTAAAAGTGTTGAGCAGCAGCACAACTGTAGCTGAGCTGTATGGATATATTTTTAGGTTCTCTAAAAACCTTCTTGCAATTCATATAACAAAACTTAGTATTTCCATTCTTCCAAGGCTAGTCCTGTTTCATACAGTGCTGCTTTCTTTTTTCTTACATTTTTCTGAAGCACTACATTTTTTATAAGACAAATTGTTCTACCCACAAGTGAAAGAGTGACTGAGCATGTATGCATATTTTACTGCAATACTGTCCCCACTTTCTTTTGACATAGATGTGACATATCTGCAATCTGAAGCACCTTAGGTGGATTGTTGCTGAAGGAATCTTGAGACAGAAATAAGACTCTGGAAAAAAAGTTTGATATCTTCAATTGTATATAAGGATTTAGTAATGTGCAGGAAGATTAAGATTTTAACACTATTGTTTGAATTCATTTACACTGCACATATTAAAATGTGGCATTGTATCCACATCTGGGACAAATCAAACTGAAAATGTAATACAAGCATTAATGAATTACATCAACATAGCAACCTTCCATGTTTTTGCACCCCAATTCTAAAGCAGCGTATAGACTGGGACCAGATTGATCACTGTCATAAACCACTGACAGGACAGTTTTATTAACAACGATTTTGGCCCTGATCTGAGTTGATGACTTCTTCCAGTCAGTACCAGCAACACTTCAAATGGACTTTCAGAGAACGAAGCTTTCTTTGGAGTCATTTGGAGCATTCTTTGAGAAACAAGAGAATAACATACTCATATGCATCACAAATTTCTTCCATTAGTGGGAGAGCTGTTAGGAAGGCTGGATAAATTGCTAACAATTGCTTTTGTTTATTCACATTACTTATAGGTGATGGCAGAGGTGATATTTGCAAAGACGACTTTGACAATGACAATGTCCCAGATATTTATGACGTATGCCCTGAAAACAATGCCATCAGTGAAACTGATTTCAGAAAATTCCAGATGGTCCCCCTGGACCCCAAGGGAACAGCTCAGATTGATCCCAACTGGGTTATTCGCCACCAAGGCAAGGAACTGGTGCAGACTGCCAACTCTGATCCTGGAATAGCTGTAGGTGAGTATCAGATGTCAGCCATCGTCTTTGGAAAAGTAACCAGTGATCTGGTGATAAGGAAAGGAAAAAAAAAAGTAGATAAGTAGTATAATAATAATAGTAGATATAGTAGTATAATAAGAATAGTAGATAAGCACCTTTTTGGTGCTGCAAGGTTTGGACTGACACACGGGGGCAGCGTATATGCCCAAATTAAAAACAGCTCAATGCTGTTTGCCTTTGTTGACCATTCATCTCATCACTGACTGTAACACACATAAAATACCCAGTTGAAGAACTTGATATAAGTATAGTGCCTGCTGTCTTCAACACCCCTTGTAAACAACTTACTTCTCTCCAGAAGCCTCCACGAGATAGGTAGGCAAGTGTAATTACCTCCTCTCCTACAGGTAGGGAAACTGAAAAAGATGATAGTTTACAACTCCTGGCAAAAATCAGGATAGAGCTGGGACTCTTGGGTGTGGGCGGCCGGACCCAGCAGTGTAACTCGACGGTTTGTCTCTTTTGTCCTCTCCCAGGCTACGATGAGTTCAGCTCCGTTGACTTCAGTGGGACGTTCTATGTTAACACAGACCGCGATGATGACTATGCTGGCTTTGTGTTTGGCTACCAGTCCAGCAGTCGGTTTTATGTTCTGATGTGGAAGCAGGTCACTCAGACCTACTGGGAGGACAAACCCACCAGGGCTTACGGCTATTCTGGTGTGTCGCTCAAAGTAGTGAATTCAACAACCGGTGCCGGTGAACACTTGAGAAATGCTCTCTGGCACACAGGGAACACCCCTGGACAGGTGAGAGATTTAAGACTTTAAGACCAGGCCAACGATGCATGACGAATATTTTAAAAAGAAGGGAGGTGTCTCGAAAAGAATTTCCTTTAACACCTCAATTTTTGCAGATGTTTATCAGCTTTTCTTCCATTCCCATATTACTAGTGTCAATAATAACATTTGCATTGTGTTTCAAAGAAAACATTACACGTCTAAAAAATTATGAAGGAAAAAATTACATGTATAAAAAGGAAGATGTGGTGTGGTCCAAAGAAAAAGGAGTGAGAGGTCTCAGTTATCCACAAATCCTTTGTGACCTCTGTATTGGCACTTGCTTCTTCAGCATTCCAGCTTGTTTGAATTATATGTGGTTTAGAGTTCAGTAACCAGTGACAGCCAAAGAGAAAAGAAATGAAAACAAAGAGGGAAAAACTGCTGCTGTTCCAAATAGGGCCCAGCCATGGAAGAAACTTGTGCCTTTTGGAAATGAAGTTAGTGGGGCTTCGCATGTGGATAGGAATTTCGCACTTCGGAGCTCCTTGCAGGAACAAGACCTTGACTGAGTGCGAGAGATTTCAAGGAGCAGGACACAGGCAGTAACATCTGTGCAAGCTGCAGTCCCTCTCCTTCAGTGGAGCCACTCATACAGATAGGAAAAGTAGCATCGACTCTGGCAGCGTGGGTGTGTGTGTGCAAACAGGGGCAGGACTTCCTAAGGGGAGTCGGGTTTGATGCTGTAATGGTCTTCAGTGACTGCAGCTATGAAGCTACAGGTGAGTAACTGATCAATAATTTAAGACAGGAATTTTCATTACTTTCACCCTATAGAAGAGGTCTGCTGATCATACCATCAAATGTTAAACGCTATTTTCAGTTTCATGCTCTGCAGCAAATAAGCTTTGGCTGCATGTACAGTTACTATAGTGGATGTACAGTTACTGGAGCACAGTCTGTTTCTAATAAGGCATTTGTATTCCTACTCTAGGTGCGTACTTTGTGGCATGATCCCAAGAACATTGGCTGGAAAGATTATACTGCTTACAGGTGGCATTTGATTCATAGGCCTAAAACGGGATTAATAAAGTAAGAAGTGTTTCTGCACCTCTGTATTTTCTGGTAGCAAAACTTTTGTCTCTGTTGATATAAGAGCTATGTTATCAGTTTCTTTGTTAGTTCTGATAATGATGATACTTGTGTGACAGTTTATTCCAATATTTTGGGGACATTTTGTAATCTTTAGAATAAGTTATTTTCCTTTTCAGATGTATTTAATTTAGTCTGGATGGTTCAATATTTACATCAGCTAAATATTCTTAAAGTAAAGAAAAAAATAAAATTCTTTCTCAATAGCTCTTCTGTAAAGGGACCAAAAATTCCTGAGGAAAACTCAAAGCAAGATTAGAACATGAGATTCCTCCCCAGCCCATGGAATCTGAATGAACGAAATTAATTAGAAACATCAGAATTGCCACAGGGAAGTAGGCCAACGGCCTGTCTGCTTCGGCATCCTGTCTCCCATAGTGGCTTATACGAGATACTGCAGAAGTAGCCATGAGCACATCTGTAATGCACACAACAAGGAGCTATGACATATGACTTTCCTTAGAGCCCAGCTGTTTATCTGATATTCCAAAGAAGGAGCATTAACTGTCCATGTCAATTTTATCTTCCACTAACTACTGTAACTGTAAAGGACATTTTTCATGGGGCAGAGTGTGACCTTACCTCTTAATGTCTTGTTTGTGCTTATGAGCAGGGGAGTTACATTTAGCTGTGAAAGACAAAGGGTAGAAAAATTTGGATAGACTAAGTTATCTGTTTCTTGGAAAGAAAAGAGTTTCTTTATGCATCGAAGTATTGCAGTGCAAAGCATTGACTGATACAGGTCAAAAGGAAACTTGAGTTTTTCATTCATGTTGCTGTTACCTGTATCTTCCTTTGCAGAATCTACTTAGTGTCAGACAAAGCATGTTTCAACTGGTATCCCATTAGGTTAATCTAACATGACGAATTCTATGGTCCAGGGCATAAAATTTCTTCATTCTTTAGGGTGTTTTTATAGAAAATAAATAAATAAAATCAATTATTTCACTAATATAGTCATTAAATCATTTTACTGGTACAGAAATAGCAATTTGGTATTAACATGATTAGAACTGAGTAATTTTTTTTGGTGGGATGAATAATTTATTAAACTCTTCCCATGTGTTCTGCGTTCTTGAAATTTTGAGAATTCCATTAAATAGGGTTACATGAACATGAAAACCTGTCATTCTTTTTGCTGTTCTTTTTACCATCCATTAAATACTGTTTTCAGGGAGCAGTTTCATACTTGTCTTTGGGCACCTTTCAGAAAACAAAACACTTTCAGGGTGGAGCAAGGGCTGGACATGCCTTTCCACCTAAGTAGAAATCTGTCCCTAACCCTCGAGTTACAGGAAGTTGCTCAAGTGTGTTCATCCTCACGTGAAGCCATCCTGCTTTGTATAACTAACGCATTGTCAGTTGAAGCAGGACCATAATCCCTTCCTCCAGAGACTGCTCTAATTAACAGACTATAGAGTCATTTCTCATTTGGCCCAAAGGCTATTCTAAGAGACTGAGAGCCAAAGAACCTTGGCTATCTCAGGGTCTCCCATGAGAAGTGGAGAATCCAAGTTCAAGGAACTGCAGTCTATCTGATAGAGAAGGAAAATGAAGAGATGTCTTTAGAGGTCTTTTGGCTCCAGCGTGGATGCCTGAAACACTACCAGAAAAAACCCAAAAAACCAAAAAAAAACCCCACCAAAAAACCCAAGTTCTCCTTCTTTTCCAATTTATTATTAGTCTAGATGTTTGCATCCAAATCCTTCCAGCTTTCATTAAGCTCTTAAAATGTCTGAAATTGAGATTCAGCGTGTCTCCAATTAATGTTTTGTTTGACTCTAAAGGGATGATTCTTCTAATTTCTGATGTTGGCCCTTGCACCTAAAGATAAATAAATCAGTCGTTCACACAGCTGTAAAGACGACTTTGCTCAGTGATGTGGCGAAGTCTTGTGCTAACCTCTGAGTTCACAGGGACAGGGGCTTATCAATGAATGCTAGTACATGACAGTTCATTCCAGGAGACATGACTGTTCTAAATAAAGAATTGGGAAATCTTTTGCAGATGGTGTGCATAAAATTACTTATGGAACAGCTCCACTGCTTCTGATTAATGTGTTATGGCTGCCAGCCAGGTGGGCGTGAGATAGAGATGAGAAGCGATTCTTACAATGAAGTTGGGTTGTCTGGTGCCTTGTTAAAATTCATTCTGTTTCAGTTCTTGGGAACCGTTGCCAGCCCTTAGCACTGGACACTGCATTATCCTCCTTGTCTAATTTAAATTATGTTCTTCTTTACAGAGTTTTAGTGTACGAAGGGAAACAAGTCATGGTGGATTCTGGACCGATCTATGATACAACCTTTGCTGGTGGACGATTAGGTCTTTTTGTCTTCTCTCAAGAGATGGTCTATTTCTCTGACCTCAAATATGAATGCAGAGGTTAGTTACAGAAAATGTCTGGAAAATGCTGAAGCCTTTGATAACCTGTGGAGCAAGCATGAAATATGGAAATGAAAAGTATCCTCTAGTTACTGAAAGCAATCTGTAATATCATAGCATGGAGTAAACCTTGATTTGTTGAAATACCATGAATGCCCTTTGCCCCTATAGTAATCTCAATTTGAATAACAAAACCCAGATGTTTAATACTACCCACCTGGAAAAAATGAGATCGAAATGTCTGAGCGAGATACGCGCTTAGAATTCTCTCTGTATATCCACGTTCCTTTGTAGGCTATTTCAGTGTGTCCTGCGGGCAGAGAGCTACTTCTGGATCACCCCTCTTTCGAGAGGCATGAAGGAGAGAGCAGATATTTTTAATGAGCATGTCTGTCTATAGTGCATGTAGTCATATAGTATATGTTTTGAAATACAGAAAATGCTTTCCCAGGTTTTCTTATATATGACTCTTTTTATATACATTTAGATACACAGGTGCACATACACGTGTGTGTGTGTGTCTCTATCTATATAGGCAGATACCTATTTTTATATAAATGTCCTCACATTTGTAGGAAAATGCAGAACAGGAAACATTGTGCTGCACCCTTATACTATATCACGATGGATGATTGTTCTTGTGTGACTGACTTCCTAACCGAATAAAACAACCACAATTAATATCTTTTTTCCCCATTTCTTTCAGATGCTTGAGCAATGGTTGCTGCATTACCAGCAAAGTACTGTAAGTGCTATGCAACCTGGACACCTCAGTACATCCTGGTACTCCCAGTTTCTATTTTTGTGTACCTCCTGTCCTCTGTCCTCGTGCTCCACTCACCAGGTACTTCCCTGCTGCCAGGAGTGCCTCAGCCATCCCTCCACCCAAGTGCCTTCTCACAGCCAGGACTAATGAAACCTAAACGTGAGCGTCTGACCCACCACTGAAGCAAAAGCAGATTGATAACATTAGAACACTTTTGTAGAGTGAAAACTTAGCAAAACATGTTTGTTTGTTTATTTGTCTTTTTTAAGGCATGACGTTTACATATAAAAATGTAATTACTTAATGTATTTATATATATATGGAGAAAAAGAGGGGGGTGATGATTATCAGTCATTGTCTTTACGTGAGGAAAAATGTGTTTGAATAACTTTTTAGGTGTATGGTTGACACTTCCTTGCTCTGGTCAGGACTGGACTTCAGTAACACAAAGCCTCTGGGTCTAATTTTAGCAAAGTAATGGAGGGCCGCACCGACAGGATCTATAATAACAATGAAAATGCTTTTGGATAATAAAGTAAAGGTCAATTATGAAAATTCCTTGATCCAAAAAGATGTTCTTTAGCTGATGAGAATTCTCTTAATAACACCCATTAAAATTATAGTTGGTAGAAATGTCAAATTTGCAACCTAAAGCATTGTCTAGTAGAGGCTTAATTCAGGCCAAACAGAATTGAACTAGGAACTCCCATGTGAAAGGGAAGAGAGATTCATTTAAACATCCAAAGCTATCACTATTGTCTGACTTTCAAAAAATTATTTCCAGTTGTTCTGTTTCCATCATATTTTGCATTCCCTTGTAATAAAGAGTATACCATGACCATGTGGAGCAAAATGAACCTGAACCACTTTCCCACCTCTGCTGCAAAAAGCACTTTGACATCCTGAATCCTGATGTGGGTTTTTGAAAAGGTGGCAACGCCACTATTACTTAATTTGGTAACGTGTGAATTTAAGGTTCCATTTATAAATATTTTGTTAGTATTTATTATGATTATCACACCGAGCTACCTTCTCCGATAATTTATTTTAAAGCATGTCGTATAATGCATCAGTAATACATTCACAAATAATGATATTTTAAAGCTATTTTTAAAAGCATATCACAATATGTAGATATTGTCAAAGCATGGTATACACTTAAGTATAGTTTCATGGGTTATATTCATGTATGCTTTAAAGTTAAATGAATAATAATAAGGAATTTATAAATGGAACCTTAATATATATCCAGTTACCCTAATTTTAATATTTTGCATTGTTACCTATGTCTGCTGTATATAGAACTTCTTAAATAATGCTGAAGGGATACCAGTGTTTATTCTAAACAGATACGACAGTTACTCAGATATACAATAGTATAAACATGTTTAACATTTTTTGTTTTGTTTAAGTTGTATGAGCTTTGTTCACAAAAAGAACACACGCTGGTGTAATTTTACTCATAGATGGGTTAACTAATGGAATAATACAGTACCTCTGCCTTCTTACAGGGCACAGTGAGCTAAATGTTGAATCAACTTTTTCTCCCTTGAAATAGATTTTGTTGCTATATTCATTAGAAAGGAATCCACAGTTGCTGGCTTTATTGCACATTTTATAGTGTTCATATTATCAAATCCTTTTTTGTTTGTTTTTGGATTTTTTAAAATTGTTATGTCACCTCTTCATGAGGTTTTTAAATAGTTCAGTTTCTTACTTTCGGTGTTTCAAATTGTATCCCCAAGTCCCAAGCAGAAGGGAGGGTGACTTCATTAAATGTAATGGTTGTAATGGCTGTGTAGCTGTGTAGGGTTTTGTGTTTTGTCAGAGAGAGACATCAGCGTGGGGATGAAGATGTTAATATTTGGACTGTATCATAATTTTCCTATTCTATGTAAATTATTTATGATGGTTTTTAACTTTCTTTTTCAATTTTTTTCCTTGCAAGTGTGTGTGAGAGAGAGAGTGAGATCAATGAAATTTCATTTTGTTTTGCCAAAGATTGTAAATAATTATTTATTTGTTACATGGACGGAACTTTCTCATTTAACGTCCTGATTCATTTAGTCAGATCCTCATTTTTATATATATATATATATTTTAAGAAATTAATGATAGGAAATAAACTGTAAAAAGGTTTTATAAACAAAATTCTCTTTACCTTTTTTATAGTTAAAATGTTTCTTTAAGGAAAATATTCCATTCCCCAAAGCCCTCAGTTAAATAAGCCTCTTGCTTTGCTATAAACCAGTTCATTTCAAGCAAACCAGCAAATCTGTTGCTTGGTTACAAATCACTGACTGTCTTCTAAGGTTGTAAACAGCAGGTTTCCTAGTCTCTCTGACAAGACATCATTCCCCGTGAAGTCTTTATCTGGCAAACTATCCCAAGTTTTATTTATGGCATTGCGACTGAGAAATTTTGGTCCGGCTTCTCTTTTTTTGCTGGACTTGTACACACATTCTCTGTATTGTGCTTTGGCCGATGTGTTTGAACACATACACGATCCTATTCTGTAACTGCTTCTACTGTGAGCCCCATCTGAGTCACTGGGATTCGCTGGTGTGAGCGAGGATTGCCTTCCTGCCGGAGAATTTCAGGAACCAGTGAATTGTCACTAACCAAACAGAATATAATACAAGAAAAAATTCTTAGCATGAGAGATCTTTGCCATGAGTATGAACTGCTCCCAGGGAGGGGAATTTGAATTGGATTAGGAAGAGTAAGAATACCCAGCATGCCAAAATGCCAATTTTGACGTGTGAACTCAAGTCATATTCTTATAAATATCCCAACTATTAACTTTTCTTGGCCTTACAAATATCCCAACTATTCACTTTCCTTGGCTTTTGGTTCCAGTGCGAGTACTCGGAACGTTACACAAGAAAGCTGTACACTCTTCAGCACAATCTTTTGATGAGTCCTTTAAACTAATACAAATGTTCAGTCTTGTGGAGAGGTGGCTTTCTTCTATTTATGCTGCAAGGATGTCAACGATTGACATTGTTCAGGTAATAGGGTGGTCAAGATCTTCTTACCCATGTTCTCAAGAGTCCCATGTAAATCTCTGGTATGGATCTGCAAGAGAGGTTTGAGCATGAACACTTAGGGATGATTTGAAGGGGGAAAAAAAAAAAAAATCCTTTCATGGCAACGAAACAAACCCCTGCAAAATGGACCCAGGGAAATAAAACGACTGGAAACTTGTGAAACCAGAACAGCAGCCCTTCAGTACTAGTACAGGGTCTCTGAGAAAAACAGAGAGGGAAGGACCAGAACAGCAAATACTATGCTGTGAATGAGCAGGTTCACATAAAGCAGTGACATCCTCTGACCTCTGTCCATTGTTCTAACTACAGGGTTTTGAAGATATTCAGGAATATTTGGGTAATTTGGGAAAAATACATATTTAAAAATTTTGCAGCCTCTACACTTCTGGTTCCCGGAGAGAGATGGGTATGGAAGAAGAAGGCCTGAAATCCCTGCAGAGAGGCTGTTTTTCTCACAAAGGGAAGCAGAGTAGAACAGGCACTGATTCTGCCACTGACTCCTGCGTGATACTAGGCAGAATTTTTCTCATTTCCCTGAGCATCAGGCTCTCATCTACTAAAAGTCAATGATAAATTTCCTTCCCTTTAAAATCCTTTTGATATTGTTTCTGGGCCAGCCAAAAAACAGGAAATACTGAAATCCTGAAACCCTCCTGAAACTAAGTTCTGATGAGACTTCTTGACCACTTTTAAAACATGTTTTTTTTCAGATAAACTTTGGATAAGCCTCTGAATTCTGAAAAGTTAAGCTGAACTCAGAGCATTTAAGGATTTGCCCATTATAAGAGTAACATATTTACCATGGTTTCTTCCAGAAAGGAAGGAAAAAAAATCCACCCAAGGATTATACCTGTGATTTCGCACATCAGGCAGCCCAAATACTAGCATCATGAATGCTAACATCTGTGTCTGCTTCTTGCTAGCTACACAACGGGGGCAGAAGCTGAACAGACTGTCACAGTCAATGGGCCAAATCCTCATCTTGGTCAGCTCAGTGGGAGTTTTGCTATGGACTTGAGTGATACCTGGATGAGATTCAGGGTTCAGCTTGTGCTGCAAACCTCCATAGAGGAAGAGCTCTAAGGCTCGCATAGGAACATCTGCTCTCTAAAGCCACATGAAAAATAAATAACTATGTAATAACTTGGCACAGTCTTGTTCCCAATGTAGAGAAGACCACCCTTGTAGATCAGGAAGGGGGACTTTGAAGCAAAAGAAACCTGGGACTGATTAAATCAAAGGTCCTTCTAATTCATTATCCTGCTTCTTGAAAGCTGCCAGTACCAAATACACCAGAGGAAGGTGTAAAATCTTTATCATTAAAAATCATACATTAGCATGCCTAGAAGGGAAACATCATTCCTAGCCCCAGGCAGTTAATGGGTGGTTTCTGCCTTTGTGCCTGCATGGCTTATTTTGCACTAATATAACTGCAAATATTCTTGTTGTTCATAGAAATATCTCAGGTTTTTAATCCCACTTCTTGACCTATTGAGAGTTTTGGAGGTTGATTATACGCAATATACAGTATAAATTTCCTTTTACCAATTTCAGGTCTGTTACTGTTTAATTTTATTGACACTTTGTTTCTCACAGACTTTGGGAAGGAGTGAATAGTATATATTTAATCATAAAACTGCATGTTAGAAAACAAAAATTCTGCTTTGCTTTTACTACTTGTGGGCATGTATCTGTTATGGGTTCATGCAGTACATCAAAGGTAGAAGAATTTCCTCTGCTTGCTGAAAAGATCAGCTGTCATATTGCAATCCTGTTTGGGTACAGGATGCTACCCATGATTACCGCCTTCTCCAAGTCTCTCTGTCTAGCTCTTGTGTAGGCACATCATATATGCGCGCGCACACACACTAAAAAATCTACATATTTTGCAAAGGATAAGTGTCATTCTGTGCTTGTCTTGTTCTTAATACTTTCCCTAGCCATCTGCTACTGGCCACGGTTGGAATCAGGCAAATGAGTTGGACAGAATCTTTTACAACCTTTTATCCTGTCAGTGATCATTGATCATTACCCGTTCATCTTGATATTTGTAGAGCTAGACGTGAACATGTTTGGTGTTGTTCCTTTAGAAGCAAGTGAATTTATTTTTCAGACATCTGCTGACATTCCTGGACTCTTTTCAGCACTGCTGAATGCACCAGTCTCTGGATGCCGGAGGCATGCATTGCAAATCACACTTCAAATC